CTTTCCCTCTGACTGTATTGAGAGCTGCTATTTCTCTGGCCCTACTCTGGTGTCCTCCTTCTAGAGAGCTGGCCACACCCTCAGGCAGATCTAGGCCAGCATGTGAACCCTCCAGCTCCTTCTTCCTCAGAGAACTCCACGCTATTTTATGGCGTCAGTGTAGCAGTGCTTTTGTCTACACTCACCCCCTCTCCCCCACTCCTTTAGGCCTTGCTGGATGACAGCTACGATAACTCCACTCAGGTTAGGGGTGCTAATGGGTGATACATCATCTATTCCTTCAAGAAAGCAGTTTGCTTTTTCTTATAAAATGTCCCTAGCCTATAGGAGTGACACTAATGGTGGAATTCTGGGGCAGTGGCAGAGCCCCCCACAATGTCCTTGGACTTATGGTCTTTTGGAACTACCAAATCTCCTTACAGAGATCAGAGGTTGAAAAGGGATGGCTCCTAAATGTGTTTTGTTTGACTTTCACAACATTAACATTTCTTTTCATGTTAAAAAAAAAAAAAACACCTTTGTTTGAAAAGCCAGACAAGGGAAATGCAAATCAAAACCACAATGAGATATCACCTCACACCTGTCAGAATGGCTATCATCAATAAGAACACAAATGTTGGCAAGGACGTGGAGAAAAAGGAACCCTTGTACACTGTTGGTGGGAACGTAAATTCGTGCATCCACTGTGGGAAACAGTATGGGGTTTCTCAAAAAAACTAAAAATAGAACTACCATATGACCTAGCAATTCCACTCCTGGGTATATACCTGAAAAAGACAAAAACACTAATTTGAAAAGATGCATGCACCCCAATGTTCATAGCAGCATTATTTACAACTGCCAAGATACGGAAGCAAGCTGTGTCCATTAACAGATGAATGGATAAAGAAGATGTGATATATATACAATGGAATACCACTCAGCCATAAAAAAGAACGAAATGTTGCCATTTGCAGCAACACAGATGGACTTGGAGGGCATTACGCTAAGTGAAATAAGTCAGGCAGAGAAAGACAAATACTGTATGATAGCACTTACATGTGGAATCTAAAAAATATAACAAACTAGTGAATATAACCAAAAAAAAAAAAAGAATACTCACAGATACAGAAAACAAACTAGTGGTTACCGGTTGGAAGAGGGAAGGGGAGAGGGGCAATTTAGGGTTAGGGGGTTAAGAGGTACAAACTATTAGGTATAAAATAAGCTATAAGGATACATTGTACAAGGGGAATATAGGCAATATTTTATAATAACTATAAATGGAGTATAACCTTTAAAAACTGTGAATCACTATATTGTACACCTGTAACTTAGATAATAAAAAAAAGAAAACCCGATGATCTAACAAGGCCAGGCCCGCATTTCCATACAGCACCAACTGGCTGGGAAGAGCAGTGGTTGTCTGCTTTGGAGGCACAGAAGCCCCCCCAGGTCACCTCAGGGATTTCAGATACCTGCCTGACTGTAGGTGCAAGGTTTGCAGCCCTTGACAGAAGATGCTCAGGGCTCCAGTCACAAATGGGCCCAGGGAAATCACCCAGAGGTGTTACCATATTTGTCACAAAGGCACCCCAAAGAGCAGGGCTAGGGTGGCAAGAGGATGATAATTCTCTCTGGGGATTTTGCTCCCTTCCCTATTTTCCCACCCTATGCTACCTCCCTAGGGTGCCTGGGTTTATGTTCATTACTGCAGGCACTGAACCAGTTATTGGGCAGTCACTACAGAGAGTGGAAAGAATGAGATTGGGTAATTATTCTCCCCACTGGCTGGCTGTTTGGGGCTTGTTGCTCCTGGAAGGTGAGAGATGGCATAAGCCAGTTCACTTGGAAAGGCTCCACTGGCTTTCCACTGCCCCATCTCTTCCTTCGTGAGCGCTACAAACACCTCTTAGCACCTATGGGGAGAGTGGCCCAGAACCAAACTCCATGCTTGCTGCAGACACTCTCATACTTCTTGTTTTGTAAACGTGAACAGAATTTTAATGCTTTAGTTTTGTTTGGTTTTTTGTTGTTGTTCTTTTTCTTTGGTCATGCCGCATGGCATATGGGATCTTAGTTCCCCCACCAGGGATTGAACCTGCGCCCCCTGCATTGGAAGCGCAAAGTCTTAACTACGGGACCATTAGGGAAGTCTTAACTACGGGACCATCATACTTAACTCCAACGTAATGTCTTAATTTCAGTTCTCATTGGTTCAGATTCTTTGTCTTAGGACCATGATTTTTTAAAAATAAAAGTACTTAACTTTTTTCATATTACAGAAGCTATATACTTTAGAAAGTACACACAATAAAAGAGAAAAAAAAAACCACTCAGGATCTCCCTAGAGATCATTACTCTCATTAGTTTGATATTTGTCTATTCACAAATACACAATATAGCATTTTCTTAAATACATGTAGTCATATTGTACACAGTACTGTAATATCTTTTTCACTTAGCATTCCAAATTGGATATTTTCCCCCATTCTCAGATATTGTTACTATACTGGCGGCACAGCATTTCATTGTATGGAAGAACATAATTAATTGAGCTAAGCCTCTATTCTTGGACATTTAGTTTACTTCCAAACTACGTAAGAGGGGGGAACGTTTATCAAATGATTTTTTGCCACAAATTGAGGCCTAGAGTAGGTGAATTGTGAAACTGCATGTAGATTATACCTCTTCTCTTCGCGTATAAGGATAATAGAATTTTTCTGAAGCAGCTTTTCAGAGAAAAATCCCTACTGCTGTACATTTCTTCTACTGGTGCATCACACACGGTGAAAGACTTTCACTTTATTTGAGAACACGAATCAACAGGACAGGTTCTTTTCATAACTGGCATGAGCTGGCATGCATATCAGAAAATCTGACGTTCTGTCTCTTTGCCTATTATATGTATACTTCAGCATTCAAAATCAGATGGAAGTTATGTGCCCTTTTTTGGCAAAATAACTACTTGGTTACTTTAAAATTCCTTCAGCAGAGAAGCATGCAGGGACCCCACCTTGCCTGAGGTAGAAAACATCCTGTTCTGGAAATCCGGGTCATTTAGTCTCCCAGAACAGTTACAAAGACAATAATCTATACAACTCCGCATCCAGCAGGCCAGGCCCTTTCTGACTGGTTGGGTAACAGGTTTGTTGTTACGAGAGGGTGTTGTGAAGATTCCCATGGTGAAGTCAAGGGCATTTGAGGGAGAAAACACAACTTTTTTCTAGACATTTTGGCCAATCTGAAATGGACTTTCTGTTCTAACAACTGTGAATGTACCCAAAGGAAAGTGATTTCTTGAAACAACTAAGGAAAGCAAAAGTCTTTCACTCTAGTGTAGAAAAAGATGTGAGTTGGGATGGGTAGAGACAGACCTTCCTTTCCAGCTATGTGTTAATCTTTAGGATCTTGGTTTCATCAACTGCAAAAATAGAGATAACAGCTCTCTCTCACTGAGTTGCTGTCAAGATTTAAGTGGAATATGTCCATTAAAATGCCCAGCATGAAGACTGACACACAGTCCTTAGCCAATCAGTATTAGCTTCCTTTCCTCATGAAATAACAAAATTATTCACTCATGAAATAACCAAATTTACCACACACTGTGCTAGATGCTGAAGATACAAAGATAAATAAGATACGTGCTCAGTCCCCGTGTATGGTCTGGTACCCAATAAATGTCTGCATAAGGTTAAGCAGCTCATAGCCTGTTGGGAGAGACAGGCATGTAACAAACAGTTATTGTAACAACTCTCATAAATAATTGTGATGTAATGTCAAAAGGTAGGCACAGGATACTACAGGACCACAGAGGAAGGACTCTATAATGCTTTCTATGGAAAATGGGGAAGAATCACCAGAGGATGGTTTTGACGGATGAATAGATGTATTCAGTTGGAGCAGAGAATGGAGAGGGTGACGGTAGAAAAAGGCAGAGGAAACAATGTGTAAAGGCACAGAGGGAAGAAAGGGGATGAGGTGTTTGGGGAAACAGAAACGTGGCAGGAAAGGTAGACTGTAAAGGACTTCCTATGTCAGCCCAGGCTCCTGGGCTTTAACCTTCAGACCAGTTCACCCCAGACTTTTATGTGCTAAAGAATCATCCAGGGACACCGTTAAAATGCAGGTTCTGGTTCAGTGGTATGTAGCAGTGCCTGAGTTTCTGCATTTCTATTAAGTTCCTACGTGATGCTGGAGCTAATGGTCCATGGTCTGTACAAGCAGCAAGGCTTACACAAAAGGGAATTCAGACTCTTCAAGAGTAAATCTAACAAATGATTAGATTTATTTAGGAGGACTGGACTACAGTGCGGAGGATAGACTGGCGTTGCAGGTACTCAGGCATTCTTACTTAATGGAGATCACCACAATAGCCCTAATAATATTTAACATCAGAGGACTTCAGACTCTTAGCACTTGAATGGGCCTTAGAGATCATGTGGTTGAACTCTGTCTCTTCATAAAATATGAGAGAAATTTACAAGGTGACAAGAGCTCCCCAGGGTCAGACAGCTAGTGGTATCAAAGCTGGGGGTCAAGAACCCAGATACTCTAACGAAAATCTATTTAACCATGTTTTTGCTGACAACTTCCCCACTCTAGGACATCAACTTATATTCAGAGTTGAATCATTAGAATTATGAAGAAAAATGTTCAGCCATTCTGAATTACAGAGGCCATGGTTTACTCTAAGAGCCAGGTTAGGAAAACTCCTATGATGGCTGGTCACCAGGCAGAATTTCCAGGTGTTAGATTCCATGTGGCTCTTCCTTCTGTCCTGTCTCTTAGAAACATGTCAGAAATGCAGATTCCCTTGTGGGCAAGTGTGTTAATGGCCACCTGCTATTGGCGGGTGCTCCAAACCTGCTTCATACCTATAGGAATGTTTGGATGGAGCAGAAAGATGGAGAGAAAAGGGAACTAACAAAACTTACACGTCTACTATGTGCCATGTACTGACACACATTTTGATTTAATTTAAATTCTTACAAGGCCCTTATTTAAAAAAATGCATTTTTATTTTTATTTCACACCTTAGGAAAGTGAGGGTCCTAGAAGAGAAAAGAAATCATGAAAAAAGAGGAAATTGTGCAATGGAGGCAACAGGGCCAGAGGTATTTGGGAAACAAAGAAGGATCTGGAAAAGCAGAGTCATTTTAGTTATATCTAATATGCGTGGGTCCTGGTGTCCCAGGAAAATGGCAGGATAGAGAAAGCACAGTGACACTCCGCAGGTCCCAGATGAACAAACAAGACTTAGAAGACGCCACTTCTAGGCTAAGAGGGGTCTGATTAAAACGGTTAAAGTAACATCAACCAGATGTAGTGTTTTGAGCTTGCAAACAGGATCTTACTCCATAACAGGAAGTAAATTCTGTCTGCTCATACAGTCACATGCCTTCTGTTTTATCTGCCCAACAAGTGGCTGACACATTTAGGAGGAGCTGACTTTAGTCTTTCTTAGGGCTTGTGGAAATGGAGAAGCAACAGAAAAAAAAATTGCTATTAACCATTGAATAATTTACATGCCATCTCAGCAAGAATTTTATTTAGACCGAGTAAAGATGTGATTTTTTTCAAGAATCTTAGAAGCCAGAAGTCTTGAATGCCAATGATCTCAGGGAAAACTGTGATATGGTCAACTCTGAATGAGAATGGCAAAAGTCATAAGAAATTTCATCTACTTTAAAGGGGTAGGGTTAAGGTTTACAAAATTCAGTAACAGAAGACCAAAAATGTAAAAGCCTTACTTAAAGATACCTTAAATACCTCATCTTCCGTTTACTTCTTATGCCACAATAGCAATTCAAACTTATTGACCTAAGCACATACTGACCCCGTACTAAATACTATTATATGGATTATCCCATTTTAATACTCATAACTCCATGATGTAGGTATGACTACATTTAAGTTTTATAGAGGAAGAAGGAGAAGCTTAAAGAAGCCACAATTCTGACTGTTTTGACAAACTGACTCCTCTAACAGGTTAAAACACTTAGATCCACATGGTGGATGAATCCCCAACTTATTAATGGCAATGTCCGGGGGGGAGTTATATATTGCTCATGGACACCCGGGGCACATGACCCCTAACTGCTAGTACCAGCAAAAGGACTGCCATAATATTCACTGGAAAATGCTTGCTTGGGTAACAATTTCTCAGCAATCATCTGTTGTTACCTCCCTCTTGCAAGCTCCAAACATTTAACCAATGTTGAAATGTGACCGTAAGACATGCCTAAGGGGGCCGTCTGGCAGCTACCTTCCCCACTTTCCTCACGGTAGGACAATTTCATCACATCCACGGACAGTCTAGAGACAGGATCTAGAGGCCAGAACTTGATATCAAATCCTGCTAAAATGAGATTCTCCTCACCCAACTCCACTGGCCTTATTTGGGAAGGCCAGGGCTCTGCTGAAACGCAAGAATTTGCTTTGTGGGGCTACAGACACCGGGAGGAAGGCAAGCTGCCATATCTTAACTCGTCTCCTTCTGCACTGTTTGTGATATAGAGACCTCTTCTCTGACTTGGGGTCAGAGCCAGTACAGGGGCAGAAGCTGCAGAGTCTAATCGACCGCTGCTATAGAGACCTTCTGACCATTGGGGTGGAGGGAGATCCCTTTAGTCCCAAACCATAGTTACCCATGCTCAGTCATTGGCGTGATGGTCGCAGCAACAAGACCTTGAAGTTTCTTCTTCGGGGAGGCCATTGAGCTGCTGAAAAAGTCTGGAAAACATACAGCGTAATTCCTCTCCTTCTAGGAATGTCAATTAATGATAAAACTCCGGGGCAAAGTCTGTTCCCACAAAGTTTAGAACTGTGAAAAATGCTTACAAGTATACAAACACACAGAGCAAACGAGAAGAATGTAAAATGTGACAGCTTCATTTTATAGAGGAGGAAACTATATTTTAAAGACAGGAGATTTGGAGACAAGAAGAGAGCAATGTTCTGGGAAAATACAGGAGATTTGGAGACAAGGAGAGCAATCTTCTGGGAAAATACCATTGGAAAGGCCTCCTGTTTTATCTATATGGATGACTGAGGCAATCTGAAAGCACAGAGAGCAGGGGTGAATAACAGCAGAAGAAAGAATATGAACCTAAGTCAGCGAGGTCGAATATATAAAAAATTACTTATTGCTCAAGTTGAAATATGGTCAGGAGAAAAGAGACATTCTTCTCTCTTTCTATACCTTCATACTGTTAAGCAAGAATCTCCCCTAAAATCAGTACTTAAGTCTTAAGGCTTCAGTGTGATCTACAAGACTGTCTTCAGATTTACCTAACTATCCTTTCAAATGCTGGTTTTGACCAGATCTTCCCTGTTTTCCTAGCTCTAGTAAATCGCATCACAAACATTTATTCACCTCTCCCCCACTAGACCAAGCTCCCCCAGGACAGGAAACAGATTTCATTTGCCTTTGTTTTCTCTGCACTGAGTGTTTTGCTGGAAATCTCGTGTTCAATTAAAAAGTGATGAATATATGGGTGATTGAATGAGGTGTTCAGATTGTAGCTTGATGATGACTTACACAGATGGGGAGATCGCTTCTGAGACAGTGAACCTGGCAACATTCATTTGAGGCCAAAGCATCCCTCACCACCTGGCAGAGAGTGTACCTGTCCACAACCAGCATTAAAAAAAAGCCAAGAAGTTGCCCAAAACAGGCAATGAGAGGCAACAGAGCATCCTGGTTAATAGCCTGCATTCTATAGGTAGACTGCCTGGTTCAACCCACAGCTCTGCCACTTAACTAGTTATAGAAGAATTGTTATTTTTTGAGCTGTAGGACGTGAAAATTGGAAGCCACAAATGCAAAGTCTAACAATTGAAGAAGAAAATAAAATGTAATCAGACAGTATTTGGTGACAATTGTACAAAAGATGTTTGGCTTAGAGAAAATACAAGAGAGGGTATATTATAGTTCTGAGGTCCCTGGCACATTTAAAAACACAAATGCCCATTAGCAACTTACATCTTACCCATATAATGTAATAATTATGAACTATCTCATTTTGTTTGTTCTTTATAACTGTTAATCTCATCTCCCCAAATAGGAGTATAAACTTCCAGAGTACAGAGATCATTCCTTCTACTTTTTCTGTATCTCCCAAGAGTCCTGGCTCAGGTGAGCCCTTGAAGCTAGAAACAGGGCAGAACAAAGACAAAAACATGAAACGGTACAGCGTGGCAAAACTTACTGCTTTTGTGAAAGGCCAATGATGATACCTCCCCTTATAAACAGATACATCCCTGGTGAGGCCTGCTACTGAAATTAAGCCCAAATCCTTCAAGTAGCTTTGCTCTGTACTGAAGGGCAATAAAGGGGAACCTTAACAGATATATAGGATACTAGGGTTTCTCTGACTTTTCCTAGTTTGAAAATGAGACTAACTCCTGTTGGAAGTTTTGGAAGAGAAATGTAATCACCTGGCCCATGGGGAAAATGCAAGGCCAGTAACACAGGCCCAGTCTACCCCAGAGGAAGGTCTGAGCATCAAATGAGGTTGATGTTGTGCCCGCTGCACATCTTCACTTGGCCTTCCTGAATGCAGCTCAACTCGAGAGCCCAAAGCGAACCTTCCACCTGGTCTTCTAAACAATTTCTTCCTTTGCTCCTTACAGTAGAGGGGTTAGAGCACCAGCTCTGGAGACAGACTTCCTGGGCCTATATCCTGGCTCCATCACTTACCAGCTGTGCTTCAGTTTCCCCTTCTGTAAATGGGGATAACAAGCATCATATTTCACAGGGTTGTTGAGAGAATTAAAGTACTTAATTCTTGTAGAGTGATTAACAGCGGGGCCAGGCACATAGTAAGTACAGGTTCAGTCCCCTCCCCTTTATCAGCACCCTCTTTCCTGTCATCTCAGCTCCACTGGTACCCCCCTCCCCAACCCTGGCTACTCTTTTCTATTCAGAGTCTAAGTCATTTCAGTTCCAACTGTTATCTTCTTTCCCTGCAATCCTTCTCTCCTGCCTTACTGCCCCTCTCCTAACTTACCCTTTGTTACCTCTTATCTAGACCATTGGGCACAACTCCATGTCCAAGGGGCCCGTAGGGACTCAAGAAAATTCAAGTGATAAGAGTCCAGAGAGCTAGGTTCCACATTAAAAGTCTCCTAAATTGAAAAGTACTAGGCTGTACACCCTAGATTTCCATATTCTTGTGCTTTTGGCTGCATTTATTTCATATTTAGAGCAGTTACAAGGATATTCTTAGGATGGTCAAAAGCTTGGACTGGCAGATAGATAGATAGATATAGATATCCATATATCTCAAATTAAGTGCACTTAAATACAGTTTGATTGGTTAAAGATATGGGGCCTGGGAGTCACTGTCCTAATCTCAACTCTCTTCTTCAAAATAGTCAGGCTGGGGCTTCCCTGGTGGCGCGGTGGTTGAGAGTCCCCCTGCCGATGCAGGGGAGACGGGTTCGTGCCCCGGTTCGGGAGGATCCCACATGCCGCGGAGCGGCTGGGCCCGTGAGCCATGGCCGCTGAGCCTGCGCGTCCGGAGCCTGTGCTCCACAACGGGAGAGGCCACAACAGTGAGAGGCCCGTGTACCGCAAAAAAAAAAAAAAAAAAAAATAGTCAGGCTGCCAGAGCAACCTCCCAGTAGCTCAGACATTTCTGATCTTGCTTTTGCCCTGCCGGAAAAAGGCCAATTAACTTCTTCCTGGCTTCCACAGGACAAATACCAAATTCCATGGTCTGGGTCTCCGTACAGATGTGTTCACACCTGAAGTGCACTAGCCCAGTCGGTCCCCACTGCTACCTACCTCGTGCTGGCTTGTCCGGCTCTCCCACCCGGAATGGCAACATCTCTCACTTCAGCTCCTTCAGTATAACCAACTTTCAGAACTCACTTTAAAAACTAGAGAACATTCTCTGATGCCCTAAATGAAAATAACTTCTTACTCTTCAGAATTCCCTCAAACATCTGCTTTTCATTAAAAACTTTACATCAGAGATATTAGCAAGGTAGCTTTGGCTCGTCTAGAGTGTAAGCCATCGGGGGCAAGAACAGCTTCAAAAATCTGTCTTTGCACAGAGCAATACACTAAGTAAACGGGCAAAGACTGCTGGCTTTGTAAACTGTGAAACTGCTACAGGAAGAGATGGGGTAAAAAAATCACAACAACCGTAACTGAGAATGATCCAGATTTTGTAAATTCGAGTTTTAAATAAAAACTGGGTAACGTTATGCTTTCAAATTCTTCATAGTTTGTATCAAAAACAAATAGAGGGCTTCCCTGGTGGCGCAGTGGTTGGGAGTCCACCTGCCAATGCAGGGCACACGGGTTCGTGCCCCGGTCCGGGAAGATCCCACAAGCCGCGCAGCGGCTGGGCCCGTGAGCCATGGCCGCTGAGCCTGCGCGTCCGGAGCCTGTGCTCCGCAATGGGAGAGGCCGCAACAGTGAGAGGCCCGCGTACCGCAAAAAACAAAAACAACAACAACAAAAAACCACAAATAGAATGTTCTCCACACTAAGGCTTAATGTGAATTTAGAATGTTACTACTGAAACACTTGGGCAGGGCCTATTACTCTCGAAATCTTACACCTTTATCCACAGACAAGAACCCTTAGTGCAAAGAATTCAGGTTGCCTAAGTCAAATTCTCTTAAAAGGGAAAAGTCAAAAAAAAAATCTCTGGGGAAGGTGGAGGAGGAGGATGCAGCTCTGGGCATGAGGAATCACTCGAGAGAGAAAAATATTAATACTTGGAAAGGAAGAAACAAATAGAGAACCTAAACAAACAAACAAAAATGCAGAAATACAATTTCCCATCAAACGAAGGGATTGTTAACACAATCACTAAACTCTCTTCCCCCCAGTGGCTGCCTCTGAACGTTTCGAAAAAAGGATCCTTAGGGCCCGGCTCTGTGGTCTGGACAGAATCCAGGGGAGTGGGTCCCTCCACCCCGCCCGTACAGACACTCGCCCGGGCCGGGAAGGTGTCGTGTTCACACTTCCTCAGGCTCCATTTCTCAGCTCCCCTGCCTTGCCCTTTGCGTCCGGCCGCGTCTGGGTGAGCGCTACAGGCCCCGGCCCCCTACCCCCGTTCCCTGGCTGTCGGTCAGTCTCCATCCGTCCGTCCGTCCGTCAGTCCACGCCTGCGCTGCCGCGCTCACCCAGACGCCGCTGGTCCACCTCCGCCGCTCCGCGCCGCGCTCCCAACCGCGCTCTTTATCGCGGGGGCCGCGCACCACGTGCCCGCCCCGCCCCGGGGCCTTGGGCCTGTAGCGCCGCCCCGCGCCGCCCCGCGCGCCCAAAGCGTTAGGCAAAGGTGGAGTTCCCTCTTTCTGCGGGGTCCCCCGAACGCCGGGGCCTGAATGAACATGGGCGTGCAGTCCCAGCTTCCTGACAGTTGCGAGCATCTGAACTTGCACTGGGGTGCCCGCAGCGCGTGCTCACCCGCGGCTCGGCTCTGCTGCAGCCCCCCTTCTTCTGCTAGGCCTTTCCTAGCACTTCCGCGTCCTGGGCTCCTTTCCGTCTTAACTTTTTTTCTGTCCAGGGCCCTGCAGCAACAGGTATTTTGTGGTCCACTTGCAGGAACGTCAAGAGTTTATTTTCTAATATCAAGTGCTGTGCTAATCAGAAACACAGCCATAAAGTCCTCAGCTTTCTCTTGCTGATGTGAATTAACCTCAATTTTCCATAAAAGGCAATGGCTGATGCTTGTTTCATTTAGAAGAAAATGAATTTCTCAAAGTGCTTTCTGGTTTGCAAAGTGCTTTTATATCCATTAGGATAATTCTTTCATTGCACACAGCACCAGAAATTAATTCATTAATGAATTCATAAAACAGTTCTGTGTGGTGGGTACTATTTTTTTAATTCATATTTTACAGATGAGGAAGCATTCTCCCATTTTATAGATCAGAAACCGATGTTTAGAGAGTTAAGTGATTTGCCAAAGGCCGTAGAGCCAGTGAGTGGTTGAGCCATAGTTTGCTTTCAGGTAGTCTGGGAGCAGTTACTATTAACTGCTATTCTGTTATCCTGCAAAAAAGGAAGGAAGGAAGAAAGAGTCCTAGTGACACCTATTTGTTTTGTAGTGTTAAAAAGAATATTATATTCCAATGGGACAATGTTAGTATTTTTTTTCAGTCACACTTTAATATATGCAAAATTAAGTATTTCAACACCCAAAAGATATAAGCCATTAGGGTTAATATTGTCAGCCAATAAGCCAGTATTCTGAATATATTTTATATAATATTTTATAAATAAATACATGTTTATGTAAATATATAAATGTTTATATATATTTGGTAGTACACAGCAGTTCCTTACTATAATGTGTTAGGATTTGCTAAGAAGCAGATGCTAAAATGGGAGTTGCTGTGCAGGAGATTTTTGGGGAGAGGGAGCCGGAAAAGGCAGGGAGAGCCTTTAGGTTGTCATAGAGGGCTGACACCCGTGGAAGGAGAGATGGAAAGAAAGAGGGGAGGGTAGAAAGAGTCTCATTAGAATGGGGAGCAGTGCACATCCCCGTATCCACTTATCTGCCCTGAAGAAACTCACAGCCTCTACTGTGAATTGTGGGAAAGGCATTTGTTTAAAAAAATATATACAGACCTGTGCAAAGATGCTAAGAAACCCTGAGGGGAGACTCTCAGTGGGCTAGTTGAGTGGGTGTGTGTTTATGTGTAAGTGTGTGCGTGATGAGGCAAGAGAGTGTTTCAGGAAAGTCTTCCTGCGGGGGAGGTGACACTTGTCTTAGACAATTGAGTAGGCCTTAGAAGAAGGGAGAGACAATAAAAGCTCACTGCTGGCCTAAAGTCCTCTGACACTTTTCTGATGAGTGGCAAGGGTGCTGTGACATTTCATCTCTTGTTATCCAGTATTATTTAATCACCTTTATTAACTTTTCATGCTTTTGTTTCCTGCCCCTTAACACCACTGTGAGGTGCTCCAAGCAGGTACCGGGTCCTATTTCTTTGCTTTTCCTACAGTGCAGAGAGCACAGTGTCTGTCCACCTGCAGGCCAGGAGTGTGGGGTTTGGAGGCATTGACTCCCTTCAACTCTCCTTTGTTTTTTAAAAAATATTGGGGTTCCACATCATATTTTGTTCACTATAACTCAGGTTTGAAACTCGGTGATGTAGAGGAAAGAGCTTGGGGGATATAGAGCACTGTAATTGATCAGACTGGCCACATGTTCCATCCTTGGAGCAGGATGTGGAGCCCCATCACAAGGCTCCTGGACTGAGGTAAAGGGTGGTTTCCCAGAAAGGTTGCCCTCACCTTCTTGGAGGGTTGCTGAAAGGTTCTAGAACCAATTTGAATGTATATGTGTCAGGGAAGGGTTTTTCCCACACTAACAAGGAGCAGTTCCTTGACATCAGCTTGGTATCCTGTAATTTAACTCAATTCTTACACTGTTTACCCAGAGCATCAGATTCCTCAAGGGTTCAGTCCTGCCCTCCACTTCAGCTGCCACTTTAGACCCGGGTTCATACCTGTGCTTCTCACCAACTGGCTGTAAATCAGAGGTTCCCATGACCCCCTCCTTGGGTTGGATTAATTTGCTAGAGGGGCTCATAGAACTCAGAGAAACATTTTTCTTACTTAAATCACCGCTTTATTATAAAAGCATACAACTCAGGCACAGCCAGATGGAAGAGATGCATAGGGCAAGGCATGGGGAAAGGTTGAGGAGCTTCCATGCCTCCCCAGCTGACCACTCTCAGTGAAACCGAGCAGGGCCCTGTGGGCCTCCAGGTCACGGAGGCCTCTTTTTGTCCCCCATTTCTTATAGGCTAGAGTCTAGCCTCCATGACCTTCCCTGAATTCCAAAGGGCAGATTTGAACAGTTGCTAATCAAGGGAGAAGCAGCCAAGAAACCACCTGAGGCAAGATTAAAGGGACCAGAGAAACTCATCAAGATTAGGAGACCCGGGCTTCCCTGGTGGCGCAGTGGTTGGGAGTCCGCCTGCCGATGCAGGGGACACGGGTTCGTGCCCCGGTCCGGGAGGATCCCACATGCCGTGGAGCGGCTGGGCCCGTGAGCCATGGCCGCTGAGCCTGCGCGTCCGGAGCCTGTGCTCTGCAATGGGAGAGGCCACAACAGTGAGAGGCCCGCGTACCGCAAAAAAAAAAAAAAAAAAAAAAAAAAAAAAAAAAAGATTAGGAGATCCGACCAACTGAGGCCCTGCACACACCCTAGTCTTGTCAGCAACCCCACCCTTGGGAAGTATTGTTACAAAACTCCTCATCAAATCCTCCTGGGTGGGGACACATAGTTTTTCAAGGCAGGAGTCCCCTGTGTCCCCCTTTGTCTGGCAAAGTAATAAAGCTGTTCTTTTTTTACTCCTCCAAAGCTCTGTCTCCGCATTTCTATTTGGCACTGGTAAACAGAGGCCAGGTTTTCAGCAACACCAGCACCTCCGCGTGTTCACCAACACAGAAGGTCTCCAAACCCTGTCCTTTGGGGTTTTTATGGAAGCTTCATTACACTGGCAAGAATGATTAAGTCATGGCTATTGGTGATGTGAGTCAACCTCCAGCCCCTCTCCTCTCCCTGAAGATCAGGAGGTTGAGACTGAAAGATCCAACCCTGGAATCACAGGTTGGGTCTCCTGATAAGAAGCCCCCATCCTTAGGTGCTTTTCAAAAGACACCTCATTAACATAACAAAAGACACCTTGATTGCTCTCATCACTTAGGAAATTACAAGGTTTTAGTCACTCCATGCCAGGAACTGGATGAAGACCGAATATATATTTCTTATTATAAATCACAATATCACAGTTACTCTTATCAGAAAAGAAGAAATGGATTTCAGGCAGCTAAAATACTGCTACGTTAGGGCAC